CACCTTGTAACATGATGCTAATAGTGCTGATTGTGATGGAAACCTTTTTTCGATTAAATGTGTTTGTTTGTTTTTTGGTTGGAATTTCAAAAATTATTTCAGAGGTTACTGTTTAGTAGTATATATACCCCAAAAAATGTATAACACAAGCGGGTCAAACAAAGACAGTTGCCTGACTTTTCGAGGCCCCCTGCCACTTTTCGGATTTGTCCTACCCCACATTGCATTAAAAAAAAAAACCTCTAAAATATCCGAGGTTTCCTGCAGCCGTAAGGGTTTGGGGCTAATACGATGGCACTGAGCGTAAAATGTCTTCCATTGCTTTAGAATTTAGTGCAGAATATTGAACTAAATTTGGCTCAATTTTCTAGGTTCTATAAAGATTTATGGGACGAGAATAACTTAGAGCAAAAAGCATACCCACAAGGGCCCCACAACTGGAATCAGTGATTATTTCAGAAATTTCCCACGGGGGGGGGGGGGGGCATTTCAGATTATTTGGGGGGGGGGGGGGGGACGGCGCCAGTTGTTTTTTTTTTGGACTTTTTTTGGCTCCGGGGGCACTTGCTTTCCCCCCCCCCCCCCCGTAGGGGGGAAGTACCCCCTGGAGATATAGCTGAAAGAAACCCTGACTGGAATGAATTTAGTTCCTGTTGGTCTGGGCAGAGTTAGAGATATTTTTGAGTCTTATTATGGCTTATTTTGGCGCTTCCCAACCGAAAGTCTGAAATGCTCCCTTCTGAAAGAAGCATTGGATTCAAGTATGTGCCTAAATGCATCCCTGCATTTTGAATTTGCCCGAGATTCTGCGACAACCTAAATGGCTGCACTCTTCCCTCACCCTGACCAGTATAACAGTATGGGGTCGAATCTAAGGGTTTGCCAAATGGTTACCCTGGGTCGCGCCACAACTGGAGGGAATTCATTTTCTGTATGGCACTGGGCGCCATAATGACCCCCCACCCTAAAAGGTTAAAAAATGCCCCCCCCCGATCAATAGAAACCCTGAATTCTGGTATACTCGAAAATTTTCCTCTTGATTTTTAAATGATTGAAACTTTTCTGGGGAGTTGATTCCAAAGACCCTAATTTTGCACTTTTTCTCGATAAAGCACTGCCACCCCCATATAATTAAAAGCTGAGCGGGCCACTCTATTCAGCCATTTCTGCGATTTTGGCAGAGGTGGAGCTGGAGTTTCTGGCACCAGGGGAATATATTCAATTTAAGCTTCCCCCTCCTCAAACCCATTATTTTTATTTATTTATTTTATTTATTTATTTAGGCATTTTTATATAGCGCTTATCATAAAGCTCTAAGCGCTTTACAATTATTAAAACATGTAAACTAAGTAAATACAAATGAGACACTAGGATAGTAACTACTATTCTATAGAAACAATGAAAATGGCTATAAAACGAGGACACTTTGACACTTCAGGATCAACCCGAAACAGAAAATGAGGTAGGGCAAGGAGGGTGCATCACAGGTCATAGGCGGACCTAAACAGATGAGTTTTAAGGGACTTTTTGAAACTGGACGAGGTTTCACTATGACGTATATGGAAGGGGAGCTGGTTCCAGAACGTGGGCCCATGGAAGCAGAAGGAGCGTTCACCGATGGTCTTAGTTTTAGTTCTTGGGATTGAGAGGGTTCTACTATCAATGGAAGAACGTAGTTGTCTTGTGGGGATGTAAGGAAGCAACAGATCAGAGAGATAGACAGGAAAGTGAGGGTCAGTGAACGAGTTGAAGCAAAGATTGGAAGACTTGTATTTGATGCGAGAGGATATTGGAAGCCAGTGGAGTTGCCGCATGTGTGGTTGAATGTGGTCATGTTTCTTTAATTTAAAAATGAGTCTGCATGCTGAGTTCTGTGCCTTCTGAAGTTTGTCTATGTGGTATTGAGGAATGCCTGAGAGAAGAATGTTACAGTAGTCAAATTTTGAAAGAATGAGTGAAGAGACGAGAGTTTTTGTGGCATCAACGGAGAGGAGGTGTCTAATGGTGCTGATTTTTCTAATTTCGTTATATGCTGATCTGCATATATTCGTGACATGTTTGTCCATGGAGAGGGTGTCCGTAAGAGTGACTCCAAGGTTTCTGGCATCCATTAAATGCTTCCGAAATCCATTTTGGCGCCCCCCGCTAGCCTGGTATCTGGGGACATCTGTCCTCTCTGTCCCCTTAACTACGCATCTGGCCACTAGGCACCCCCCACCAAAAAAAAAAAAATGAAATGAATATATGAAATGCCCACCGGAGGAAATTGTGTGAATGAAACATGTGTGCAGAGTGATCTCCCCTAACTTCCGCAAACGAATTTTAGAGGGAAGAATGAGAATGTGTACATTGTTACGTTAATGACTGCATCTTTAAATCTGATGATAATACAGTGGTGAAAGAGTTTTAGCTTTTCTATTAAAATAAATGAATATGTTTCATACCAATGTCAGAAAATACGTTCCAGGTGTTGAAAAAATGAAGGCACATTTACATTAGTATCTCCCATACCTCAAAACTCAATGAAGTTGGAAAGGATAAAAAAAATAAAAAAGGATTTTCTTTGAAACTTAGGCCAAGGAGATTTTCCCATTTTTCTAAAGATATAGTTCAGAACATATTTGAGAAGATAAAAATATGAATATATATTTAAAAGGTGTATGCTAAACATATAGTTAAAATGCATTGTAAGTGGGTAGTAAAAAGATGGGTAACATTTTTTTTTTTATGTTGATAACACTATCTCAAATCCCAAACATTTTACACATGTTAAAAATTTAATCTTTAAAAATATTTTGTTTTCATTTAACGAAGATACACTGCCGGGGCGTGAACAACGATTGATTAATATTTTTAAAAAAAAAATAGGAAAAATATTTTGTCTTTAGATAAGGCGCAAAATAAAGTTCATGGGATAGTGAGAGTGAATGTTTATGACATTAATAATCTTTCTCAAAAACATAAGCAGAGATCGATTGACTTAAGTTTCGGCGCCGAAAGTTGCCATAGGATCATTTTCGGCGGAGTTTCGTTTTTTTTTCCCCTCGAAAAAGAAACAAGAAACTCCCGGTTGATTTTTGGTTTAGGCTGAAAGTAATTCAGGATTGCGTTCATTTTTTTTCAGAAGTAGTCAATCTGTCAATCCGACGTACATTATAGCTCGACATCCTGCTGTCATCGTATGTTATATAACTAATCATCTAAGAATACTGCTCATAGCTTCATGATGAGCTACTTGTATACAGTAGTTTCAAAAATTAAAGTTCATTTCAGCTTAGGCAAAAGAGGTTTTTAGCAATAAAAACTAAGGGAATGTAATAGTTATATTATTTCTTTTCTTTTCTTTTTTTTTAAAATTGGGAACCCTATTGGTCTATTCAGTTCATTCGTTCGTAACATTTATAATTGGTTACCATTACCATGCTCACACATGTTATCACAGGCAAAGGCAAATATTATTGTGAAAAGGAAATCTAAAGGAATCGCAACATTTCCATCGTTATTTTTGTTTAAACTTTAAACAAAATATATTTTTTTAAGAAACCCTAGGCGTATTCAATTTATTCATTTATTGACCATCATCATTAGTCCTGTAAATGTTGTCACTCATAACGAAAACATTTTTTAAAAATCACATCCAATTAGTCACATGTATGGACACAAATGAAAGAAAGGGAATAATGAACTTTAAAAAAATATATATATTAAAAACAAATATATATTAATTTCAATTTTGTATACTAAGGCATACATCTTGTGCTGGGGTTTATAGTTTTCGGTTTCCGTATCGGTCGAAAGTCTCGCTAAGCTTTTGGCTTCGGTTCCGATTTCATTTTAAACTTTCGGTTTGGTCTTGGGTTCAGAAGAGACCAGAAAATCACATCTGGTCAGTCTCATACATTTGAAAAGTAGTTAGACATAAGCATTTTTCGTTTTACCGAACGATTTTCTGATAATACATTTCAGGAGCGTGTCAAACGGCTGCTTACATTTTTAATGAATAAAGCAATATCTTAAAATCCGTTATCGTTACAAATATTTAAAATTCTGCATATGTATAATATATACTTTAAATTTTTAAGGAACGTTTTTTACAATTTTTATAAACTCTTTTCTTTGGCGTGTTGGGTAGTCCTATGTAATATAGATGATACAAAATGTATCAAATGGTGTCACAAACATAAACATCTATACACGAACAGTTTTTTTTTTGGCGTTAAATCCATCAATGCCGCTGGCTGATCTATTATTTTTGCTTGTGGTTTGATATCAGGCGAGAAGTTAATAGTTAATGACATAACAGCACTTTCCCCCACCCCCCCCCCCCCC